GAGAGGTGCGGGTTCGATCCCAGCTCTGTGCGCCAGTTTCTGGTCAGAATCAGCGAGGAGGCCGGGCGGTTAAGCACAGCAGAATTGTAGCAGTGAGTTGCGAGTTCAAGAATGCAAAATGCTGTGAATGTTCTGCGATGTTCAGAATCGGCGACAGGCCTACAGCCTAATAAACGCTGAAACAGCTATTATTATTATTATAATGCCTTGAAAGGGAATTAATTTGAATGGAACTCTCATTTTACATTTAATTAAATGTCAATAGCACCTCACTTCTCACCACAATAGCGATGAATTTTTTAAAATTTTTAACGACATCAATATTTTAAGCTTTCCGTTTCCATGTTAAGCGATTTATAAAGCGAGAAAGTGCACATCCAGCGCTAGTATTAGTGGGTATCAAAATTGGTTAGAAACGAGAAAAAGCCCTAAATATTTTTAATCATACAAATTGTATTTATAATTTTTTTTGTCATTTGATTCATGCATTGTCTCCAACTTTACGCAAGTGCAAAACTCCAGATCGATAGGATAAGAAGAAGTATGTTAAATTTCGATTATAAGGTTTGTTGCAGACAGACAGACAAACAAGAAGTGAGGTTAAAGAGAAGTGTTGTAAAAAAATCACCAACATATTGTACTTGAATATAGATTCCGATTTGGGATCATTAAATGAATATGACTAAGCTCACTTGATATTATATTATTAAAGGCATGATACCAACGTGTACGCACAATGTCATGCTACGGCGTACACACAACTTCACAAGTTTTGCTTATCAAAGGCTGTTTTGACAGTTATGTCACAGTCATTCCTCTTCGAGTTTCGATTGGTCACTTGTGCTGTAAAGACGTGTGGTGTACACCTAACTGAACTGTGAAACTAATCACCAAAATCACGAATAGTCTTTACACTGTAAAGTGAAAGAAATGACCAAACCTAATAAAGATAGCTTTCAAGGCCCTGGCCCTCCTGAAAGCTCCCAATCTTAAGGTGACTTATGTAGTCACTTAGGGCGACTTATGTAGTCACTTAAGGTGACTTACGTAGTCACTTAAGGTGACTTATGTAGTCACTTAGGGCGACTTATTTAGTCACTTAAGGTGACTTACGTAGTCACTTAAGGCGACTTACGTAGTCACCAAATGGTCACCTTAAGCGCAGTGGAGTTCTTGCGCATGTGCAGGATGGCCGCGTTGCGCAGCGCGAGCTGACGAGCTGCGTGGCTACGACGCTCGAATCTGCTCGCCACCTCCCAGGCCGCGCGCGACACCTGTAGTCAGGAGGACACCTGTAGTCAGGAGGACACCTGTAGTCAGGAGGACACCTGTAGTCAGGAGGACACCTGTACTCAGGAGGGCACCTGTTGTCAGGAGGGCACCTGTAGTCAGGGAATTTTACCTCTGATTTCTTGGCAAATTTGAATCGGAGTGGAAATATCATCACTCTTTATGGACTTATTTAGCCGCATGTATAAGTAAAGAAGTGATTTGATAATAAATTTTCAAACCCGTATCCCTAAAAATGGAAAAATTCGACATGCCAGGACCAAAGCACATACACAACTTTGTGAAATTGAGCACAAAATTGGGCGAATATACACCATTAAAAACCATTTTTGTTCAGCGTATAGGAAAACAGGAAACGTAAACAGACCTCACTTGCGGTAAAAGGACGAATTTGTTACACGTTATTGACAATCTCACTTCATTTTTACGTCTGATGTCCTTGAGAGATCCGGTGTGTAATGGCGGTGGTGTGACCACAATGCCGGGCGCGCCCGCCACCAGAGGGCGGCCGGTGCCGGCGTCGGCGCTGCGGCGGTGAGTCAGCAGCGGCAGCCCCGACCGCAGGCTCTCCGCGCTCGCGCTTAGGCCATCCAGGGGATCAGACCCTGGTGCGAATTGAGTAAATATTATTCCTGCTTTACTACAGACCAAACTTGCGGTGGAAAAAGCTTCTTGGATTTTTGCTCTGATATCGTTTGTCAGTCAAGGTGTTTAAACTTTAAAACCCCGAAAAACCCTTATTCTATGGTTTTCAAACCATGGGTTTGGCTTTAAAACCCCGAAAAACCCTTATTTCTATGGTTTTCAAACCATGGGTTTGGCTTTAAAACCCCGAAAAACCCTTATTTTATGGTTTTCAAACCAAGGAACACTTATTCTATGGTTTTCAAACCATTGGTTTGGCTTTAAAACCCCGAAAAACCCTTATTCTATGGTTTTCAAACCATGGGTTTGGCTTTAAAACCCCGAAAAACCCTTATTTTATGGTNGGGCGCGCCCGCCACCAGAGGGCGGCCGGTGCCGGCGTCGGCGCTGCGCCGGTGAGTCAGCAGCGGTAGCCCCGACCGCAGGCTCTCCGCGCTCGCGCTTAGACCATCCAGGGGGTCAGACCCTGGCGCGCATTGAGAAAATATTATTCCTGCTTTACTACAAACCAAACTTGCGGAGGAAAAAGCTTCTTGGATTTTTGCTCTGATATCGTTTGTCAGCCAAGGTGTTTAAACTTTAAAACCCCGAGAAACCCTTAATTCTATGGTTTTAAGAAGTCATTCAACATTTTTTTAAATTGCATGCCTCATTATTTTTCGATTATCACCATTATTTATGTCTCAGATAAAAGCGCCACAATTACTTTGGACATTACTTGTCTTGGAACATCAGAATATAGCCAAATTACAAAAAAAAAAAATATTCAGTAAGCGAACTATCTTTGACTGATTGATTTTGCTTTCACAGAGCTATCATTGATTTACAGGCGTCGCGCAAAAGTTTAAGATACGCAAGTCATGCTGGTCTCAGTAAATTGATCTGTAGGAAGCAAAATTAGCTGTCACGCTTAAAACAAATGTCTCTCATTCATCGATTTTTATTAAAAAAGACTTAATATACGAAAATAATCAAGTTATGTCGCTGCTGAGTATGAGGATTGGAAAGAAAGCTTCATGAAAATTGCCAACCACTAACCTAATAATAGTTAGAGAGCAAGATTGCAATTAAAAACTCTCACTGAAAAAAAAACAGTAATAAAAACAAGAAAATATAGATCAGCTTCAGCTATCGTTGATGTGATTTATTCACGAGGTGCAGGCCACCTCACCTTGATGCACGAGGTGCAGGCCACCTCACCTTGATGCACGAGGTGCAGGCCATCGAGGGACATGGAGCGGGCAGGGCAGCTGAGCGGCATGCTGACGAGTCGTCGCGCTGTTCATTCCTTTCACTTTCACACAACCTAAACCTGGTACATGTATAACGCTAGAAAGACGAACAATATGTACTCAACAGAATTTTAATTTATCGCCGTTTATGCAAAATAAATATAATAAATGAATCAGCAGTCGCAAATGTTAAACACAAATTGAAATCGGTAGTGAAGCAATTCAAGAGGCAAGTTCGCGAGCACACAAGCGACTACCTCTGCCGTGCGACTGCCTGACCTCGCGCCTAACTTTCGCAGCCTGACGCGACATATCGTTAAGGTATTTTTCGTTCTTCCGCTTCCTTACAAGTTTCATTCTCGTTTTCAATTCTAATTTTTCATTGGGTGACATCTCCTCTCTTCCATGTCTGTAAAGTTTTCTTTAATATCACTTCGATTATGCGGCTCCTCGATTACCCCTAACATTTCACGTTCAACACAAATCTAGATTTCAACCGTTCATTTTTAGTTTACCAGAAAAAACTGGTGCAAATTTATAGTTGCGTTTATGTACCCTCAATCAAATTCAGATACTGACCAATGAGCTTCAGTTGCTGCCTACTTTCAATGCAACGAAGCGTCTAATGTTGACAGATTTCATTCAATTCAATCAGCATTCTCGCTCGATGAAATTATTAAGAAATGGAATAAAGACTTTTAGTAGCAAAACTAAAAGATGTTTCACTCGGAACAAATAATGAAACCACACTTATATTTCATTTTGTATGGCGACCGAGGAACAAAACGTTATTTCGACGATAAGTTTAGCTTCCACGCCGCATAAGAGTTCTTATTGCGTTAGTTGTTCGCTTCTAACGCTCTGATATTCAAAGTCTGCGATCATTCATTCGATATTGCTAATTTTAGTATCGGCGGCAGATGAGGGAGCGTGATTGTGATAAATTTCGGTCATGTGTTGTGAGTGTGTAATCAATTTCGGATGCATTCCATGATTTCCCAATCATCACATTCACAACTTAGATAACTTTTCAGTTCATGCAAAAAATATGTAAAGTGAAGTGTTACTAAAAGGAATTTGTCACTTAATAAATGCCCAAGTGCATAATCTGACTAATTCTTGCTCCGATTTATTGCTATTGCTTGCTGGCAGCAGGGCGAGGCGCACTTATAGCGAAGCGTACGGTCACTGGTAGTGTATATCCTAGTTTCAAATTTCCAGGACCGATTCTTTACGAAAATTTACATTATGAAATTTCGCATAAAAAATTGTATTGATTGTAAGTTATTTAGAACATGTTTTGCCTCCTTGCCACTTGATACCTAAGTAGAGTGGAGTCAAAACAGCATTTACGTTGACTTCACAGCTGCCTACACAGGCCGCGGCGAATACTGAGAACCTAGTCCTGCAAAGCTCATTACAGGCCAGGACGAACAAGAATCTCGTCCGATGAAGCCAATTCGGGTTGCGTGGCGGACCCGACGGAGCGTATTCGGGTTTGGGTGATCGGAAATATGAGAGCTACGGACTTCAAGCGCAGTTATGGTCTTCTAGAAAGAGAACATTTCAACAGACGATGGGTGGAGATTTTATGTTAACGTTCAACTTGAGCGTAAAATAGTCTGCCAACTCTAAAAACATGTAATTGACAAAGGCGGTCATGAGTTGAATTAAAATCGATGATACTCAAGAAGGCATGATAACAAAGAAACGCTGATAACGGAAAAAGTTTTTCAAATTGCACGTCTATTTCCCGTATATATAGTGAACATAATATTGAAATACATACAAATAAGGCTTAATTATTCCTTCGATCCAGCGCACAGAATAATCATTATACAGTATATCCAGCATTATTAAGTAATGACTTAACGAACAAAACTGACAAAAATTCTGCCACGGGCAAGTGTGCGGCGGGATGCCACTGTCTTTAAAATAATCCTACGCACACAGGCGCTCTTGAGTCCCTTGAGGGTAAGAGGGTCCCCCCTTGAGGGGTAAGAGCTTACGATCAACGAAATATGTTTCGAATATCAGACTACAAGACCCGAACCATAAAAATAACAACTAACCACATAACAGAGAAGTGCAGTCAACCAGATCCAGGCGGCTAACTCTGACATAAGGAGACTCAAGGAGCGAAGCAAACAGAAGAGAAATTAGTACTTGTAGAAATGCGACTGCGAGGAAAATATACTTTTTGCCGTTGCAGAGAAAGCAGTTGAGCTCATAAGAGAAATTCACTGTACATCCCATATGGGTAACATAATCGAGTACTACCATCACAGCTTAACTCCTGCACTGACAGTATAGTCCTAGCGAAATAGTTGCTAGTAAAGCATATATACACATTAACCAGACAAGACGTTTAACAGCATACCTGAATACGATACCTGGATAAAAGGATAAAATTATATTATGTGCTTAATGAACTTAACTCATCTTCTAAAACAGTAAACTCGACTTGAGTTCATGACTGGATGGGGGTAAGATTTGCAATTCTTCTTTTAAAGAAGCACGAAGTCAACTAAAATAAAAAGTAGTTTGAGAATAAAAGGAATACACACTCTTACCCGAACTATGAGTAGTGAAAACGGTCCCGTCACACAGCGGTAACAACACACTTATCTTATATCAGAATGCAAAGGCTTTTCTACAGATCCCATGTTAGACAATAATAATAAATATGGATAAGAGTATAATATGACAGCATCGTCGTGAACACGAGACGGTGGTCCATTTCTAGTTATGACGGTATCGTAGAAGACAGGATAAGTTGAATCGTGAATTAGTTAATGCAGATGAACGCGAGAGCTCAGTGTGAGGCTGAACAAAAACCGAGGTCCTCATGTACGTCGATGTAGCAAGCAGCTTTGGTGCTAAAGTGCAATTTATTTTCAGAACAGAAGCGAGACAAGCTTTTTGTTCATCAAAGAAAGAACAGAAGCGAGACAAGCTTTTTATTCATCAAAGAAAGCGAAGTGATTATCATTCATACGTAGAGGTTTCTCTTCAAAACGCGTTTAAGAATGTAACTTTTCTTCCGTGAACAATATAAACATGCATAATAAATTATCACAAGATAAAAAGCACACCAAAGAAAAATGTCAAAAATCCTGCTAGTAGAATGAGCAGCGAAAAATTTGAATAGAACACAAGTCATGAGCAAGCAAATAATAGCTCGAGGTGATTTATTTATATCAAGACTCGCAATATAAGGTGCGTTTTATTTCAAACATTGATTAGAATTTAAAATAAAAACGCATGCACAGAAATGAGATTATTCAGCGATAATATTTCGACGAAAAGAACATGGTGCTTATATAACTTATACTATTTTTGTGCTGGTCGCTTTTCATCTAGGTTCCTGTTAATGTAACAAAATGTTCCTGTTCTCGCAGCGGTAGTTCCGAGCTTGTAAAGTATAGCTTAGCATCCATAGAAGTTAATAGCGTGTTAAACTCTTGCAGCAAATCAATAACCCAATGAGAAATAATCTCAACGAAAATCCAACAGTCTGTTCAGAGTTTGTGATTGATACGATATAGTCAGCTCCTCAAAATTATTATACCATCAGGCGCTTGAGATTGATACAATATTTTAAGCCTCTACCAGCTCAAGATTATTATACCATCAGGCGCTTTAATCATGAATAATCGCGTAACCAAAAATGCCAACCAACCTACGAAGCGTGAAGAGATCGCCACGACGCAGTCTCCTTCAACGAGGCTCCAGTGAGCTCAAAAGAGACTGACGCTGTGACCAACAAAGTCTGGTGCGAGCAGCGCTGTTTTTGTTCCAGAGAAAACTTTCAATTGTTTTACTGACTCGAACCGTAGAATACTATGAAGAAACCTAGAAACAGTAACAATGATGGAAGCTTGATTTAATTGTACAGGCTTGACATGCTCTTAATTCTGACTGAGATGCAGCAGGTGTGTTTGACTGCACCAAAGAACGAAGAAGTTAAAACAAGCTATTAATAATATTTAGAGCATTCTTTGTAAATTATTACATTTCCCACTACATTGGACTGGCTTTCACGGATCGCACAGGGCTTCATAAAATAAAAGTCAATATTGCTAATAATATTTGTCACTCCCAGTTAAGATGATCGTCTTCATCCTCAGCTTGTATGCCTACGTCTCGTAAGTCAACGTTCTCTATTCGCATGACAACAAGCCGTCTTCGCAGCTCCACATCTCTTCCTCCCTCAACCAGAAGCTCTCTGTTGCTCATAAATTCAAGCACATTCTGATGCAAGGAACTGCAGGGATGCTCGGGCTGTGGTGTCTCGAGGTCGCTGTCTCTGATGTCGATGTTGGGTACGCCGAGGTGGTAGAGCTGCAGGGGCGTGAGGCGGACGATGTGAGGGAAGTAGTGGCGCAGGGCGTCCCAGCTCATGCGGTGCAGGGACGGCACCGTCAGCCAGCACTTGAGCAGGTCGCCTGAACGCTCTGCACTGGACTCTGTGTTCGCCAGGACACCTCCGTGCAGGTATAGGCAGCCTTCCTGTACACACCAAATAATATCACAGCTCCTACAATTTGTCAATTAATCTACCAAATATATGTAAATAAAATTTTTTATATTCTCTTGAACTCTTAACTGAATCATTAGCTGGCATGAAGTGGTGATTTCGGAGCTATTAAAATGAGAGATTAGCCCTGAACTTTATAAAAAACCTGTTATAGTTAGTGCAAAAATACAAGCGCTAACATAACTTGTCATAAGAGACCTTCAAAGAATACATGATCAGAACGAGCTGATGTACTTGTGTGAGTGAGGCGGCATGGAAGTGACGCGGCGATGTTGCGGCATGTGGCAACTCCTGCCACAGCAGCGTGCGTAAGTCAAGTCGCCACATGTCGCCATATGAGATGTGCTCGTTGCAGCCGCCGTGGATGTAAACATCTGAACACAAACACACTTAAATTCATTTCCTACTGCATGTAATGCGGCATTAAATAACAGGAAACCAGGCTGGACAAAAACACACTTAAATTCATTTCCTACTGCATGTAATACGGCATGAAATAACAGGAAACCAGGCTGGACAAAAACACACTTAAATTCACGTCATTTCCTACTGCATGTAATACGGCATGAAATAACAGGAAACCAGGAAACCATCATCAATGAAACACTGAAAGATTCTGACTCCAGAAATTTCAATTGCTTTGATAATTATCAAAAAACATAGAGCATAAACAAGAATTCAAAGTGTTGTGGCACAAAAACAGTGCAATTTGGAATAAAATAACATTTATTCTCATTATTTGATTAATAGAAAAAAAAAACAATCCATCAATTTGAATATCTCCTAGACAAGTTAATTTAAGTCATCATGCTTTTAGTTGATATTTGACTGAGGAATGGATATATTTTGAAATATTTATGCCAATGCTCACTGGAAAATCCTGACAAGAACTCAAGGAAGAAAAATACGTGATTCCTTCCAAAAATATAGGAAGAAATGTGCAGAAGGACTTATTAAAGATCATAAAAAAATTAGCAAAACATCATAGCAGCGTTGAGTGCCAACAGCGTCAATTATTCCTCTTTTGCTACACATAATCATACTAATTCTCTTATGACGCAGGGAATGCAAGTAGTCGTCAAGTTGATAGAATGTTATCAAATTTCTAGAATGTTTACATTAATTACACTAGTAAACTGGTACCTGGAGTGTTCATGACTTTATATGGCATAGTTCAGCCTTCAGTGACACCCATTGCAAGCTTTAATAAAAAGAAGATAGTAGTAGTGAAGACAGCAATAAATAACTAACGCTGTTAATGTTGCACAGTTAAGTGACACTCATTTACAGACAAGACAGAGAAGCAAGATGGCACTCAAGAGAAACCTATAAAGGGATTAACAGTTTCCACATTGCACAATGNGATGTGTATAAGAGACAGACATTGCACTATGTGACACTCATTTACCAGCAGAAAATAACAAATGAGTGTCACATTGTACAATTTGACACTCATTTACAACAGAAAATAACAAATGAGTGTCACATTGTACAATGTGACACTCATTTACCAACAGAAAATAACAAATGAGTGTCACATTGTACAATGTGACACGCATTTACCAACAGAAAATAATAAATGCGTGTCACATTGCACAATGCGACACGCATTTACCAACAGAAAATAAGATTGTACTGAAGAGTAAAGTACAAGAGAACTAACAGTTCTCATGTTGCACGGTGACGTGACACTTGCGAGGCAGGGGGTAGGTGTTGGTGGCAGGGTCGGGCTCGGTGGCAACTACTTGGTGCCACCGCAGCGCCGTCAACGAGAAGGCAGGCAAGCGGTCCAGGGGCGCCGTGGCCTCCTTCTGTCCTCCTCCAAACACCAGCAGGTTTTCGCCGTGCAGGATAATCTCGTGGCGGTATCTGAGGTACATTATACAGGTATTAATTGTCGGTATCTGAGAGGCATTATAGAGGTATTAATTGGTGGCATCTGCGGTACGTCATTGGGGTATTAATTGTCGGTATCTGAGATACATTATAGAGGTATTAATCCAGCATCACTTCAGACATGAACTCAGATTAACCAATAGAGTAGCACAACTAGTCTGTGCTTCATGCCTGTAGTAAATGCAGTTATCTAGTAGTCTATGTTGGAGTTGTTAACTGTGCCTCATAATTCCAACTTTGAAAAAATTAGCAATGTTCAAGCATTAGGTCTTGGAGTAGAATCATGTAAGAGTTACAGTAAGTAAGAGTCAGTAGTAACAAAGGAAAAATCAAGTCAGTTCATACTAAAAAATTGAGATAGAAAGAAATAATAAAGAAAATACAAGGATTTTGATGAAATGAAGATTTGATATTAGTATGCTGAAGATCAGAAGCTCGTACAGCGTACCTGGTCATAGGTAGGTGATGGTCAGCTGATGTTTGGTAGAGTTGCTCCCACACTCGGTCCACAACGTTTATCTTGTGCACATCCATGTTGTACTCGTAGCCTGTGGTGCCGCCTACAACATAGAGCTCGTTGTCGTCCAGCGTCACTGCCTGCATGACATGGAACATTCAAACAATCTTGGCTCTGCTGTCATATGATAAATCAATTTGGAAAATGAAAATAAGCCCATCCTTTCAAGTAAAGACAGTAGATTGTAAATTTTTGCTACAAAATTTAAGGGTTCATCTAAAAATGTCATTAAAAATTCCATCAGTTTCCAGCTACAATGAAATAAGTTCCTAATTCATAAATATAAAAATGATATTACGTTTCTTCAACAATCGTTATCGAATTATTTAATTAAGAACAAAAGTTAGTGCCACGAGAACTTTCTTGTGTTTTGAAGTTGCATTTACTTAAAATGAATAGAAATAGGTGTGAATGAATTTCCCATACATAATTTCATTGTCAGTTACCAAATAGAAGACAAAAATGCAAGTATTGATGAAGAAATTGTTGAGATAATGAATTACTAAAAAAAAACTCTTGTTTATAGTCAGGTAATTTGAGACTATTGCAACAAAGGCTTCACAGATCAGGAGCAAAATTTACACCTTCTACACAGGCCTATGAGAAACCTAACTCAAGATAATCAAACTTGGCCAGTTTTCACTAGTTGCTTAACCACTACAAATTGTGACTAAGTTTATTAGTTCATATTGCTTTAACAAACAAAAAATTTGAGTATCTTAGCTACATGCATGTTGACATATCTATCAAGTGCTTGCATCCACTAGTGGCAAGCTATAAGCAGTGCTTGCATCCACTAGTGGCAAGCTATAAGCAGTGCTTGCATCCACTAGTGGCAAGCTATAAGCAGTGCTTGCATCCACTAGTGGCAAGCTATAAGCAGTGCTGGCATCTACTAGTGGCAAGCTATAAGCAGTGCTTGCATCCACTAGTGGTGAGCTATAAGCAGTGCTTGCATCCACTAGTGGCAAGCTATAAGCAGTGCTTGCATCCACTAGTGGCAAGCTATAAGCAGTGCTGGCATCCACTAGTGGCAGGCTATAAGCAGTGCTTGCATCCACTAGTGGCAGGCTATAAGCAGTGCTTGCATCCACTAGTGGCGAACTATAAGCACTGCTTGCATCCACTAGTGGCGAGCTATAAGCAGTGCTTGCATCCACTAGTGGCGAGCTATAAGCAGTGCTGGCATCCACTAGTGGCGAGCTATAAGCAGTGCTTGCATCCTAATCAGGAAAGGTAATAGATGGCTAAAATGACACTAGAAAAACGTGATTGTAACAAATTAATATATCATTGTAAAATTTAAATTGAGTAAATGTAAAATTGTAAGTAATTTATCCTGAAAATAACTGCAAGAGATGCAGTGAACAGTGAATAATCAACCTGGAAAGCTACTGTTTACCTGACCATAACATGACAAAGGGCTTGCACCAGCTGTCTCCACTTTCTCCCATGCGCCGGTTTGCAGATCACAAACACGTAGCTGTTGATAAAACAGCCACAGATAGGAGATTCTCTTTGATTAACAAATAAATTTTGAAAATTAGCTACTCAATGTCAATAGTGGTTCAAATAATAAATGCAATGAATTCCATCTGCAAATTCAAGTTAACATGGGTATAATACATTCAATGGAAATTATGCTAAAATTTAAAAAAAACTGTTTCTTCTTATCACATGATCTCTCAGCAATAAAATGGTTCTACAATTTTTGTTAAAGATGGTGGCGCTATATAATTATCTAGGTATATAATTATTTATATTTATTTATAATTATATAATTATATATAATTATTTATATATATAATTATATAATTATATATAATTATTTATATATATAATTATAATCATCACTATATAATTATCTTATTCTTATCTAGCTAGATAAGAATAACAGTTTGGTTGCACCACTCACACAGTTATGGGAGGATTCCCCAAATGGCACACCAGTCCCTCCCAGGTGGAACATGGAGAAGCCGCTCACAGCGCAGCCAAAGGACACGAGTCCATCAGACTTTTCCATGTGGCACTGGAACATCTTGGTCCATGTATCAGTTACTGTGTTGAACCGCCATAGCTGTTGTCAAGATGTAAATAATTTTACCATGTATATAATAGATGGGCATAAGTTCAATGGATTTGGAAGAGGCTGGTACACATGATTGGTTAGTAATCAAACTTCAACAGCAAAAGGCAAATGGATTATACTGTTCTGATATCATTTGAAAAGCTAAACAAATCAGTATAAATTAAAAATAATTTAGGATGAAGTATTGATGCCTGATATATTTATTGATCTTTATAGTCGTGGACCAAATAGTGTACAGTACGGTATATATTTACAATTTTTTCTAATTTCAAACAAGTTTGATTGAAGACCATAAAATTAGTTCACATGACAATTTTTAATAAGTTAATCTAAAATGTTTGTGTTTGTAGATCAAAAATAAGGCAATCAAAAGACATTTTGAACATGTTAACAACCTTTTTAATGTATCAACATTTACCATAAAGTTAAAAGATGAATTTTGCAATGTCCCAATGCTATTGCAATGGCAATAGCTGGAGCCCTCATCACTAAATAAAGGATTCCAGCCATTAATTTTCAAACTACCATATTTGTCACAACTTTTAAACTGATTCTGGACTAATTTTGAACTTCAATTATTGAGAATTATCCAATTTACTTATCTCATCATCTCAATATTATCTCCCCTAAGATCAAACAGGGCTAAATTCAAACCTTTTTCCCAAATAAATTAGGTCCATTATCAAAACACAAACTCCTAATTTGAACACAAACAGATTTGACTTCAAACTTAGTTTGCCAGGTAGTTCCTGCAAGTCTCCCCTGCCTTCCATAACCACGGAGATCTTCCTTCTGTTGTGCTTCATATCCATGTATGTTCTCATGAAAATTATCCTAATTATGGCTCATCACAAATTTCCTTCTAATATGAATTTTCATGGCTGATACAGTGGGGGGAAATAAATATTCGTACACTTGAAAAATCGTATTTTAATGTATGTAAGTACGGTACACAAACTTAACAGAAAAAGTGATTTAAATTATGTATAGAGACGCATAGTATTCAAAAATACTATCAAAAGAAATTAAATCTCAATTTCAACAAAAAACAATGCAACATGTTCACTTTTCGGGTGAAAAAAGTATTCGTACAAAACAATAAATCCGCATTATTTTAATTTAATACTTGGTTGAATACCCTTTATTCAGCTCAACAGATACCAGTCTATTTCTATACGTCTCNATTCAACCAAGTATTAAATTAAAATAATGCGGATTTATTGTTTTGTACGAATACTTTTTTCACCCGAAGAAGTTAACATGTTGCATTAATTTTTGTTGCATTGAGATTTAATTTCTATTGATGATATTTTTGAATACAATGCGCCTCTATACATAATATAAATCACTTCTCCTGTTCAGTTTGTGTACTTACATACATTAAAATACGATTTTTCAAGTGTACGAATATTTATTTCCCCCCACTGTATGTAGCAAAATAAAAATGATACAAGCACGAGATACAACATATTAGAAAATGCTGTACAACATTACATTTGGTAGAGGTAAGCAAAACATTTTACTAACTTCTGCAAATAGTGGTTTGGTGAGCTGCCAGAAAGGGTCACAATTGTCTTCAAGGTTAGGGTTGTATCCTCCTAAGATGAAGAGTCTACGGTCAACACAAACCATCCGATGGCCACTACGGGGCAGAGGTACTTTGTCTTCTGAAAGCAATATGAAAATAAAGAAATATCACTTTGATATGTAACTTTGGAAATCAGTCTTTCAAGAACTGTTCATGAATTTCAATAACATGTAAAATGAATTGAGATATCTGGGAAAAACTGCCAGCAAATATTAGCATTGAAATTGACAGCTACTTTCAAAGCCCTAACACATGTATGTATGCATACAAATTTCTAAGATAAATATTGGGAATTTTATCAGAATACGTAGAATACTCCAAGCAACAGCAGATAATATCACAATATATGTATAATACCGTAACAAGACATCTTTCAGTATTGACACTGAACTTACCCTTGTCTAAAGTCTGAACTGGAGGAGAAGAAGAACAGACAAGAGTTGTTTTGAAAGGTGTGATACCAAATAAAGATGACTTCTCTTCTCTCAAATTGGGGCAGTTCAAATCCATTTTAAATTTATAATTGAACTTGACTATCAAAAGTAAATGTAATTAGACATTGGAATAGTGTTTATTTCCCTGGAATATTATTTCAAAATGGAACATCAAGTTGACAATTTAGAAAACAAGAATAGAAAATATTTTATATGAATTAGATAGAGCAGCCTCAGAACGCTTGTAGGGATTTTTTTTTTATTTTCAAGAAATTTAGCTGCTCACAATGAGATATTTTATAAAAGGTCAGTTATGTATGTGGTTGAAGTTTGATTAATGGAAATAAATTCAATTATGGCTCCAACACCTACATATATACCTATATATATATATTATACAGACAGGAAGAAAGGTGACCTAAACACACACACGGGGACCTTAAAAATTTCTTGCCATGTACTTATTCCAAAGTTAAAAAATTAAGTGAAGATCATAGTTATGCAAGCTTAATTAGGCTCTACTTCTATGCCTTGCTTTGCTCAGCAATGTTTCAGTACAGATTATCTTGATCAGTACAATTTAACTTTGATATAAGCATCATTGGAAAGTTTATTTTTAGTGATATTATCAAACACCACATATTAACAGATGGTAGAAAAAATTTAATAATACTATTTCAACTTCAATTAAGAAAATGTTTCTTGGCAAGAAATTATTAACAAAAAAAATGCTCAAAACTGTCCCTTATTACCCCATTTGACGGTATCAGCCACACCTGTTTTCTCCATCCACCCAAGGTCAAAGTCTCAATCTCCTCATCTACTCAAGATTTAACTCTCTACCACCATATGTCACTCTGGGAACATGACTTTTAATTTTAATTATATGTAAGCTATTGACTGCAGAAACTTGAGGACAGTTGCCCTACAGAGAACATCTTAAAGTTGTTGTACACAGCAGCAACCATCAGTGTGTCATTTTGTGCTCACTAGCAATGCATCCTTTTAGGGAAGTAGGCTTGTGACAATATTGCTCTGGTTTGTCATTTTCAATTGATTATGGACATAAGCAATGGTAAGCTTATCTACAGTGCTGCTGTTTAGCGCATTTTCTCATTTATGGAAAAAATTCACCATAGTGCTTGCCATGTCCGTCCGTCTGTGACTCTGCGTTTTCGTCAACAAGAAAATGCGCTCTCTGTCTCTCTCACTGTAGTGAGTACCGAGTTATATTTTTTTAATATGCTGTTCTTATGTATAAAGGTCATGTTTCATACCTTTGGTTTCTCCTCCAAGTTTAGAATGAATTTGTTTTATAGGTTTTATTGCATGTCACCGTGAAGGAACACCTGGCACTACACAGTATTAATTGCCTGTCACTGAGGGCAAACAACCTTCATGAGATAGTATTGTACAACATTTATTAGAAACAATATGATATATGCCTACATTTTTGATAAACGATAATATTTAAATGAAAAAATGTATAAATTCTAATTATTATTCCATGAAATGCATGCATGTGTGGTAGAGTTGATATATAATTCAAACATATACCTAGAAAATACATTCAAATTTTTACTGTTCATTTTCAGATATTTTCATTCATGCTCATTCTAATGACAAAAGAAATTATACAATTTGGGATAGACAAACAAGATTATGAGGGAAACTTCCAAACTACAATGAAAATACAGGAATCAGCCATGGTCCATGGACAGTGATTGTCAGCAACTAGTGAGAAAACATCTACCTACTCTCTGAACCGCGACTGGATTTCTTGAGCCATGGTTTTATGAATTTGCAAGCCATGATTGCATTTCTTTGAGCCATGAATCTGTTAGAATAAAAATGAATTCCATATCCAAGCCATGAAGAGCCATTTATGAGCTGGAGCCACAAACTATTTGCAAAGTCCTGTGCACATGTTACCTGTGCACATGTTACCTGTGCACATGTGCAAAGTCCTGTGCACATGTTTCTCTAATTTAACCCTAGAAACAGCAACAAGAACATTTGTCTTTACTTTCGAGGCTACTGAACATGTGATAATGCAGTCTGACAAACTGACATGACCACAACTATGCAATCTCCAACGAAACATTTTGGGGTGACTCATTATGCACCATACCCAGGATGGTGTTGTTTTCCACATATTAATCCGGCATACATATGGCTGCAAGCCCTTGTACCGGCATACAAGGAGCTAAAATGTCATTGGCGTGCATGCCCGGTATAGGTTGGCATATGGCTTGTCCCGGCCCAGGTGTGCAGCATACATCTGCATCTGGCTTGCTACTGAAAAACCTCATATCTGACCAATGTACTTTCTAATTCTAATACATTCTAGTATACTAATTCAATTTAATGCTATCTTGTGCAGTCTAATGTGTTTTACTGCGTTCTAATGTATTTAACTGCTTTCTAATGCACTCTATCAGCATGCTTATGAGATCTATAGCATTCTTAAGCAGACTGGTGCATTATCTAGTGCATTCAAATGCAATCTAGTCTGTTCTAATGCATTTTGATGTGTTGTAATGCGTTCTAAAGCATTTTGGTGCACCATGCGTTATAGTTCATTCTAATGCAATCTAGTGCTTTTTGATGCACTCTACTGCATTCTAATGCCATCTTGTGCTTTCTAACAAGTTCTAATGCAATCTTATGCATAACATTGCATTCTAGTGTGTTTTATTTTGATCTAGTGCATTCTAATTTGTTCTACTGCAGTTCTCTTGTGCATTGTAATGCAATCTAGTGCATTCTAATGTGTTTTAATGCATTCTAATGCTTTTTATTGTGTTCTAATGCATTCTAATGGTTTCTGTTGCATTATACTGCTGTGTAGTATGTTATAATATGCTCTAATATTTTCTCATTTGTTCTAACATTATAGCATAAAATAAATAGCAATAATTTGTTCTAACATTAACATTGTAGCATAAAATAAATAACACAGCAAAATGTAACACAGTTTCACATAACCCAACATATCATCACACAATATAATACAAAAAATGATGACACAGCATAACATAGCACAACACATAAACCATTATCATGCAACATGTCACTACACAACACATTATAACACATCATAAGATGGCACAGTATAACAACATACACATTATATTATAACCCAACGTATTATAATGCAACATAATATGTTGTGTTATATTATGTTCTATTGTCCTGTGTTATGTTGTGTTATAGTTCTATTCCATGTATTCCATTACATTATGTTATGTTATAATATGATGTTATATTAAGTAGGTAGTGTTATAATGTGTCCTGCTATATTATCTTCTTTTTTGTTTCACTGTGTTGTATCATGTCAGGTTGAATTTTGATGTCTTATGTTTTATTAGGATAAGTTGTAATACAATGTGTCTTGTTATGATGTGTTTTGGTATAATTTGTGTTGTTCTATTTTATGTTACAATTTATTATGCTATATATTGATGTGTTATGTTATAATGTGTTGCATTACATTTTGTTCTGTAGTGTAATGTTATGTTGTGCTACAATGTGTTGTGTTAGGTTAGGATGTGTTATAATGTGCTTGTTTATGATATGTTACATTATAATGTGTGGTGTTAAGTTATGCTGTGTTGAAATGTGTGGTTATGTTGTTACATTATGTGTTATGTTATGTTGTTACAATGTGTTCTGTTATGTAATGTTGTATTAAAAGATGCTGGGTCAAGTTAGGATGTGTTATAATGTGCTTGGTTATGATATGGTTTTTTATATAGTATGATTTTTTGTTACAATATATCAATATATTCAGTTATGTTATTATGTGTAGTGTTATGTTATGATGAATCATAATATTTTTGTAATAGTGTCTAGTGTTATAATGTGATGTCATGTTATGTTGGGTTATAAGGTGTTGTGTTATTTAGCATCAACATATGTTGTGTCATTACATGTTGTGAACAATCATTGTGTTATGTGTTATGCCCCAGCACAGTGACAAACCAGAGATTTTTTAGAATTTATTTTTAATTTCCTCATTTACCTAAGATTTAAACTAATTTTTTATGTCTGATAATGCTGGCATCCACAATACTTTACTGCTATACTTATAGGACTCAAAAATGAACTTGAGGAAGAGTCTAAAAAAATCTCTGTTTTGCCACTATGTGCCACAGTCATCATAAAGGGCATGCATCACTGTTCATCATTGGGCATTGGCCTCAACAATTGTAGAGCGCATGTGTCATGATGTGTCCATGTCAATCATCAGGCATAATCACATTGATCATAAATCACGTGCATCAAAGTTGATCAACAGGAATTGCCCAAATCGATCTTAAATTGCATGCATACGTGTCGATTATCAGGCATCAGCCACATCGATCATAGACCAAAATTAATCAGACATCAATCAAGTTTATTGTTTAGTGCGTGCATCAGTGTTGATCATTGGCATTGGCCAAATTGATTGTAAATTGCGTGATTCCATAACCAATCACTTTATGGTAAATCATGATTCCATAACCAATCACAGTCTAGGTATATAGCATAAGATCATGATCCTATCAACCAGTGTGGAATTCTGTATAGGTAACATATTCTCATGTCAATATAAGAAAATGTATCAAAAAACCAACCCTACCACCCATTACACCACCTTCCACTGCAATGAAAATTGATAAACTGAGCTCATCAGAAACTGCGGTGCTTCCAATATCGCGCGTGGTTTGAAATCCAATCCCGTGTTGCCAACGCCTAATCAAGTTAACTAGTCGTTTGTCTGTAGACTAGCGGACACATTTTTGCAATGAATACATTCTAAAATAAAAAAAAAGCACATCCACATTTGTAAAAAATCCTCACAATTGGACAACACCAACAAAGTTTTTGATATCACACAAAATTATGAGATAAACTGCTACTCTTTCACTGCGTACGTTCACATCGTGGTTTCTATGTTTATGTATTACAAGACAGTGTCACACTTATGTTTTAGTTGTGTCTAGTTTGATTTCACAATAAATAGATTTGATTCACATTCCATTCCGAGATTTAAATGATTGAAAGTTTTTTTTAAATTATAAAAACCTATTTATACGTTCCAAATTTGAATTTTTTCCCTTTTTTGCCCTATTATGTTGAATTTATCTTAATGAATTCACTTCAAATTCTGAATGATTTTGTCTGCCATCCCGCGTTTTCAAACGTTTTGTGTCTTTTAGATAATGTTAATTGTTTAACATGGGAAACTATTTCATTATATAAAACATAGAGCACATACCATATAGTGCATTAATAATATAATTTAATTGAACAAAAATTAATTTTTTATTTAAAAAATATAATCGAATTTTTAATTCAAC